CTGTTTGACCCTGGGCAACTCACTTAACTCTGCTTCACTTTCCTCATCTATAAAATGAATCTCAGTTTCCCCATTGCTACCTCAGTTGTTGGGCAATTCCTTCTGTCATTGCCATACCCACTATACATACACCACTAAATGAGAAAGGAATTTTAATTTGGTTGTCTCATCCTTGCCCAGATGTTGGAGATGGAGCTGCCCAGCAATTATTTTCTAAATAAATTCAGTTTCAGACCTCAATTCAGTTATTATAGTACCTTAATCTGCCATTAACCATGATGATTGATAAATCTTGGGCAAGTTGTTTGGGTAGCTAGGTAGCATAGTAGATAGAGTGCCAGGACTAGAATCAGGACGTTTCATCTTCCTGAACTCAAATCTGGCCTCAAACAGTAGCTGTGTGACCCTGGGCAAATCACTTAACCCTGTTGGCCTCAGTTTCCTCATCTGTCAAATGAGCTGGAGAAGGAAATGGCAAACTACTCTACCATCTTTCCCAAAAAACCCCAAAAGGGGTCATAAAGAGTCAGACACAACTGAAAAATGACTGAACAAATTGTTTACCCTTTCTGTACCTGTTACCTCTTCTGTAAAATCAAAGGACTGGACTAGATGAATTCTAAAGTCCCTTTGAGCTCCAACATTCTATGATCTAAATGTTGACAGCAATCTCCAAATCTTGTTGACATGTTTAAAGAACAATTAGAGGTGGTTTTGTTTTTTGTTTTTGTTTTTGCTTTTTTACAAACCATATTGACACCTAGATGAGTGATCAGTTTGGAAGTTCCCTCTAAAATGCCAATCACGTTCCATCCCTGCTGTCATATCCTCGGTGACGCTTGCCTAGGTCCTCCCATAAGTCTGCTAGAGCAGTCCACCTACTCTGGTTAGTTTGCCAGTTTTTAAACCTCTTATTGTAATAGGAAAGTTATTTTAATTAATACCTTTAAAAATTCTCTTGTCATCTCAAAAAAGGCATACAACCACAGCATGTGAGAGTTGGAAGAGACCTCATCTAGTCCTTTTTCACACACTAGAGTGTGCACCACAGAGCTGGATGGGATTGTTTTCCTCTCTAAGGTTACCTGCTTTCAGATATCACATACAGATTTGTCTTTCTCCATTCAAATGTAAGCTCCTTGAGGGCAGGAACTGTTTTCCCCATTCTTTGAATCCAGTGATTAACAGAGTGTCTGGCATTTGTAGGTATTTAAGTGCTTTGATGGATTGCTATTAAAAGAACCAGATGAGGAAAGTTAGAAGAAAATCTCTTAAGTATCTTTCAGAAGCAGTGGACTGAACTGGGTCATGGTTTTTCTTTATGCAACTTCTGAGGAGGCAGAGACAGAAGGGCAGAAGTCTGGGAAACTGAAACTTGCTTCCAACAAGTGGGCAAGGGAAATCGATAACACTGTTTCTCCTACATTGTTTCTCAGGATACTGAGCTCTGACTCTGTTAAAATTTAACTTACCTGGGTACATCTCACACCGGTACAGGAAAACTTCAACTTATTCCTATTTAAAATAAAACAAATAACTATCACCAAGACTACAATAGGCCAGTGGCTGGGGCTGGCATGAGAGAGCTTCTGTGCTGCGCTTTGTGCACAGAGGTAGGCTCTCACACATAAGTCATAGCGCCAGCTTAGTCACTGACATGATATGAGGACTTGGCAAGCCACTTTATTTTATTTTTTTTCATTAACTTAATGGTCACCAACAAACAGAAACATCTCAACATATAAATATGAACAACAAAAAAGAGGTTTGTAAATGAAACAATGTCTGGCAAGAAAAAATTTTTTAACTGTATATTAAACTTAACAAGGTAATAACAAGATTGGGCAGGTAGGTGGTAGAGTGGACAGAGTGCTAGGCCTGGAGTTTGGAAGAACTGAGTTCAAATTTGACCTCTGATACTATCTGTATGACCCTGGGCAAGTCACTTAACCCTGTTGGCCTCAGTTCCTCATCTTTAAAATGAGCTGGAGAAGGAAATAGCAAACCACTCCAGTACCTTTGCCAAGAAAATGCCAAAAAGGGATCATGAAGAGTGAAAGTAACATGACTGCCCTGTTTGTTTCTGTCCCCTTCTGAACTTTTTCTGTTTCCTTTTATTTTTAAATGTTTATTAGTGCTCTTTTCTTTCTTTTAAAAAAAAATCTCCCTTTTCACTAACTCATCTCCTAGCCCCATAGAAATAAATACATGTCTGAAAATGTATGTGTACATTCTATTCTCTTAGTCCTTTCTGCTAAGTCAGGAGACATGCTTCCTCAGCAGTCTTCTGAAGTCACAATTGGTTACTGTGTCTATCAGAATTCTGAAGTTCAAAGACGTTTTCCTTTACATTATCAAGTCATTGTGTGTTAATTATTCTTCTATTACTGCTCATTTCAGGCTACATAGTTCATGAAAATCTCCCCAAATTTCTTTGGATTTTTTTCTCTTCATGATTTCTTATGACACGATAATATTCCATTACATTCACGTGCCACACTTTGCTTAGCCATTTGCTAACTGATGAGCATTCCCTTAGTTTCCATTCTTTGCTACAACAAAAAGTTGGGCTCTAAGTTGTTTTTGTTTTGTTTTGTTTTGTTTTTCCATACCTCTGGGTCTTAGACCTTATTTCACTTCTCCTGAGAAGTGCCTGCAAGCACACATAATTGGTACTTAGTAAATACCTGTTGGATTTTATTGCTGAATTCCCTGCACCCCAGTTTTCTCCTCTTTAAAATGACAGAGTAAGACTAAAAGGTCTCTAACTTTCCTTCCAGTTCTAATATTTTATAACTAAATTCTAAATTCCACAGGCTTGGTATTACATTTGTTTTGCGTCTGGAACAGAGTTACCGGGAAAGTCAAGTTTTGTGGGTTGTTGGGCTAAGTGCTTATCTATTAATCAATCAATCAACCAACAAGCCTTTATTAAATGCCTACTATATGCACTGTTCTAGACACTAGGGAGGCAAAGACAAAGAATGAAACAATCCCTTCTTGAATGGTTCTTACATTCTAGTGAAGGAAGACAACAAATACATGCAAAAATACAGTCTAAATAGAAAGCTAATACATACACATACATACAAAGTAATTAAATACAGGGTGGTTTGGAAGGGAAGTACTAGCAGTTGGGATCAGGAAAGGGTTCATGCAGAAAATGGTGTTTGAGCTGTGTCTTAAAGGAAGAAAAGGACGTGAGGAGGTAGTTCATTCCAGGTACAAGTGACCCATCGGTGCAAAGGCTTGGAGATGAGAGATGAGCGTTGTGTATTGTGTGTTCCGAACAGAGAGGTAGCCAGTTTGGCTGGATTTCGAAGTATGGGAGGAGTCATGTCCAATGAAGCTGGAAAGATAGGTTGGGGACAAGTTCTAAGGGGCTTTGAAAGCTAAACAGGAGTTTGTAATTGAGCCTAAAGGCAAAACGGAGCCACTGGAGTTGATTAAGGGAGTCCCACGGTCAGATCTGCGCTTAAGGAAAATTCCTTTGGCAGCATTGCAGAAGAGAGAAGTGGGAAAAGAACCCTAGGAAGAAAGATGACAGGACATTAGAAATTTGGGGTGTGGCTCTCTGCTCCAGACTGAAGAAGAGCTTATATTGAATGGTCTGGAGCGCTACCTGGGGCCGTCTCTTTACAGAGCTGCTCAGAGACAGTGACTTCTGGAGATTTCTTCTGACAAGTTGCAAAAGAACTTGGTATCTCTTGCTCTCAAAAGCAGGACCTTTTTATCTCGAATTCTACCAGCATGGGCCATGCTACTGTGTCCTGTAGTGGAAAGCACCTTGACAAATAGCTGGATACTCAAACTCTCTCCTCCTCCCTCCATAAGTGAGCACAAAGGGCAAATACCCTATGAGAAGGAGACACCCCACCGTGGTGTGTTGAAGAACCTTCCTGGGATTCTTAACCTAGAAAGTGGGCTAATTCAAAGCCCTTCACAACCTGGCTCCAGACTATCTTTCTAGACTCAGCGCGTGTTTCTCGCCTTCATGAACTTCAGCTTAGCTGTTCCCATTACTTCGCCTTTGCCTAGGCTGTGCCTCCATGCCTGGAACGCACCCTTCCTCACCTGCCTTTCACATTTCCCAGCTTCCCTCGAAGCTCATCTCACATGCCAAAGCTCATCTCACATGCCAGCCGTCTCCTTCACAAGGCCCTTCCCGACTTCCCCAGCAGACATCCTCCTAAATTGTCTTCTATGCATTCTGTACATGGTCTATAGCTGTTAATCTGCGTGCCAAAAGAATGTAAGCCCCTTGAGGACAGGGTGACACTTTTGTCTTTGAATTCCCTACAGAATTTTGCACTTAGTAGTTTAATAAATGGTTATGGATTGATATATGTTGTTTCCCTCAATATAAGGTGATCTTGGAGGGACGGACTAATTCCTTTTTGGCTCCGTATCTCAGGCCAGAGTAAGCACTTAATGAATGTCAGCAGACTGATAGATTGATTATCTCGGGCTGTTTTATTTCCCGGGTTGATGGGGGGGGGGGGGGGGGGGT